GTAACATAAATAACTTTTTATAATCCTTAATTATTTTCTTCTTCCTCTTCTTTGTAGTTTTTATTTTGTCTTTTTTGTTGTTATTACTTCTCTGTGTAGCCCTGGCTATTCTGGAACTCACTCTGTAGACCAGGCTGGCCTCTAACTCAAAGATCCCCCTGCCTCTGCCTGCCAGTGCTGGGATTAGAGGCGCCACCCTCTGTCCAGCTTCTTTAGCTTTCTTAGCATCTTTCTATCACCTTGTTTAAAACAAACAAACAAACAAACAAACAAACAAACAACTCTCTTGTAAGAATCTTTACTTTCTCCAAATCTCCATTTGTCTCTTTTAAACTACTTAAGCATCTTAAAAGTAACTAGTGATATTTGGATTTAAAAAAACAAAACAAAACCTGTTTCTCATCTTCTTAGTCTTAATTTTAATTGTATTCTATTTATTTATTTATTTATTTATTTATTTATTTACTTACTTACTTACTTATTTGTGTATGTGTGTATAAGTGTGGCTACGTGCCGCCACCATGGTGCACACACAGAGGTCAGAGGATAACTTATGAGGGTCCTGTCTTTCTACCACGTTCTACCTCGGTTCGAACTCAGAACATCAGACTTGGCAGCAAGTCTCTCTATCCACTGATCCTAGTCTTTAACTTTTTTTTTTTTAATCATTAACCTGGGATTTAGATCCTGACCATCCTCACGGGTTCCTTCTTTGTTATTCTCCTGTTTTTATGCTTTTCAGCCGTGGGCAAGGCTGCGCGTGAAGTTGGGTTGAACCTCGAATTAGCGGGTCTAATTACGGTCCTTTCATGCCTGTAATGTGCGGCCGTCTGATGAAAGCAGCAGCCTGCTTCCTGGGCTCCTCGCAGGCAGATGTGGGCTGCCAGTAGTGACATTTGGATTCGGTGCCCTCTCCTACTGTGCCCTTTCTTCTGCCTTTGCCAGAGGCCGTCCCCTAATCACTAACGCGTGCTCTGTTTTATTTACAGTTGCCAAGGCAAGAAGCTATCTGAGGTACAAAATTAGATAGAATAGTTACGTAAAGAAATCATTGTAAGGCTAATTTAAATAATTGGGATGATTATGAGAGTGTGATTTCTGTGACCCAGGAGTTGGAGTGCTTTGGAAACGACTTGTGGGTGTGCAGTTAGTGTGCGGCAGAGACCTCTAGCTATGGAATGTGTTGTTACCTGCTCAGGCAGGAGGGTGAATTAGAGCCCCACATTCAAATAAGAACTTCCTCACAAGTAATGAATAGTTTTGACAAAAAAAAAAAAAATCACAGAAGGCTTTGAAAAGAAATGCACAAATGACAATCTAGAAGTGAGTTGCTGGTTGGTGCTGAGGCGGACTGGGAAGCAGCCGTTCCGACTTGGACACGCCCGTCTTCACACAGCAGGCACCCATGCTCTGAGGACCCACTCCCTCCTCAAGGTGCAGGCCTTAGAAAGCCGTGCACAGCCAGGCCTCCGCCAGGACAGCCTCCCCCCCCTCCGGGTCACAAAGCTCCAGGCCTCCGTCAGGACAGCCTTCCCCCTCTCCGGGTCACAAAGCTTTCCTTTCGGCCTTCACGTGGTCAGGGAGAAGTTTCGAACACTGGAAGCCCTGGACACTGTCACCGCAGCTGAGCCTGAGGGCTCGGGAAGGGCTGTGAACTTGACAGCATCGCAGGGAGGGAGGAGGAGCGGGCCCTCCACTCGCTGGCCTGGGGACGGCTGCAGAGGCCAGAAACAACCTAGAAAAGGGACAGTTTACTCAGGCTTTCGGTTCCGGAGGCACAGTCCATACGGCGGAGGGGGGAGTCAGTGAAAAACTGACACATCCCATTTTCAGCTACAAACTCGAAGGGCGAGTGAACCGATGTGGGGCGAGGCTGCTCACTCTCAGGTCCCATCCCGTGTATTTCCTTCACCAAGGCCACAGCTACTAAAGTTTCCATAACTGTCCCAATTTTCACCACCGACCGGCTTTTCTCATTGAGACTGCTACATTCTCCTCTCCTCCGAGCTCTCTTCCCGGTTCCCCATGGGTGAAACCACTGATTGGAAAGTCAGACCATGGACCACGTCCACCCACTGCCTGTCTGTGTAAATGAAGTTTTATTAGAACCAAAAGAGAAAAAAGCAGCACATTTTCCCGAAGTACTCTTTCTCAGAATATGCCAGAAAATTTTTAGATAAAGATGGACATAAATGCTCTCTCCCACCCCTCCTCACCCCAGTTTAAAATGTTTTTTGAGAGATGCTTTCCTGGAACTCGGGCTGGTTCTGACTTGGCCTGTAGCACTGTGCAGCCAAGGCTGACCTTAGCTTCTGATCCTCCAGCACCCTGCGTGATGTGATTATAGGCCTGTGCGCGCACGCCTGCTCTAGGCTGCGAGAGACACTGAATTTAGGACTGCTTTGCTTCTTTGTTGTTTCAAGCTAGGCAAAGTCCTCCCTCAAGTGAGCTACATCTCCCCTCCCCCTACCTGATTTTGTGGCACTAGAGATCCAGCCGTGGGCTTCATCCAGACTTGTGTTCTAATTGAGAGAAGCACACACACATGTAATTTATGTTTTTACAACTGAATTTGTCTTTGCAAATTTATACATTTGCAGCAAAAATTGCATATTCTAATTTGCCTATGTTAATCAACACATTCTGAACAGACACGGGATTGTAATGACAAGCGGTTTCTTTAACTTGTAGGTGATAGCAATCTCACACTCGGCTTTTTTTTTTCTCGTGAACGAGTTCTGCTGAGTGAAAACGAAGCTGATTGCTTAGTCAGAAACGTTTTGCCGTGATGGAGAGAGACCAGCACACTTTACTATTGCCAAACATGACTGCATAAAGGTTTATCACGCAGGGCGTGGCTTGGCGAGGAGTTTAGTTTGCATTTTGAACAAGTGTGTTTCAGACAAGTGTCCAGTAAAGGGTATTTAAATACCCAGCCATCAGTTTGATCTAGGTGAGGTGTGAATGTTACTCCCCAGGACAAGTGAGGTTGAAACGGATTCTTAAAAATCACCATTTGTACGTTTAAGATACACGTTGGTTCGTAAGTGTAATTTCGTGACTTTAATTTGCCAGAATTTAAGTGACTTGCTTGGCCGGGTGAAACGGTGGTGAAGACGTTATCTCTTTAGTGCTGATTCTCTCTCTCTCTCCCTGTCTCTCTGAATGCCCCTTTTTGGTACCTCTAAACTAAATCTGTAGGTTTCTTGACAGATTTCTTTATAACACCAGTTAGTTTTACAATAGCTCCTCCCCCCCCCCCCCCCCCCCGTTGCCCCTCAGAGCTCACTTTTGTCTGTCTTCTCTCTGAACTCATCCTGGGGACAGAGCTCCATTTTGGTGTTGGGACTTGATTAGGTGTCCTGCAGACAGAATGGCACAGACTAAGAGCCAAGTTCATGTTCTTCCTGGCTCTGCCTTCCTCTGCCCCAGGCACTTGACCAGCCCCCCCGAATGTGAAGAGCTGGATGGTGTTTTTCTGCCTTCCCCATTTCTAGGTTAAGCGTTTTGGTGCTACCTCTCTCTCCTCAGTCTACTCTTAGTGTGTCTCAAATCTCTCCCTTCTCCTTCTCCATCTCCTTTGGCAAAGAGAGGTCATCACCTCCTCCCCGAGCTTGCTTGCTTTGTTCCATTTTGTCTTTTTCTTTAATTCTCCAAGGCAAGAACAGCACCTTTCCTGATGCACAGGAGCTGATTCCTTTCCTGTGTCTGAAAGACCCTTCGTGACTTAGCAAGTCAGGCTCCCGGGCTCTGTGGAGCCGCTCCTGACCCGCCCTCCTGGCTTAGCCTGACCCCTTGCCTCTTCTCGCCCACCCAGGGTCTTTGTGCAGTATTTAGGGGGTTCCCACCCAGTTCTTCACCCCCTTCCCCTCCTTCCTCTTCTACAGCAGCTTCGAAGCACTCTCTTCTTAGCAAGCTCCTCTCCATTCACTGTTCATCTACAGAGCTCATTTCCCTGAGCTCTTTAATTCAGGAAGGTCTTCCTCCTGCTGCTTCTGTGACACCTTCCTGGAGAGAGTTCCCTTTCCCTAAAGGGACCCTTCCCTCTGTTCCTTGAAGGTTAATCTTCTTTTATCTAAGGAGGGCGGGCCCTCCTTATTTCCAAGAAGTCTCTCTTCTTTAGTTGTGTGTTCTTCAGAGCAATGTTGGTGCTTTGTTGGCTTGGTTTCTTGTGGAGAGGGCAATGTCTAGAGCCGTCTGTAGTGCCAGAACTGAGACTGAGGTAGCAAATATGTTCAAGCATCCACATTATTTTTGAATGAATAGAAAAAAAAAAACAAACAAAAAAACACTTTGCCAGGTGTCATGTGCATGGTTTTAATCTCAGTGACTGGAGGCAGAGCCACGGGGATCTCTGTAAGTCCATGCCATGGGTACGCTGGGACCTTGGGGGGGGGACTCGGGGGGAAAAAGTGTGTGTGTGTGTGTGTGTGTGTGTGTGTGTGTATAGGACTATGGTGAACATGCCTGGAGGTCAGAGGACAACTTTAAGGAGTCAAGTTTCTTCTACCATATAGCTTCTGAGAATTGGACTCAGGCCTTCAGACTTGGCAACAAGCACCTTTGCTATCTCACTGGGCATTTAAAACGTACAGTTTGGGGTTGGAGAGAAGGCCCAGTGGTTAAGAGCACTGGCTGACCTTTCAGAGAACTCAGGTTCAATTCCCAGCACCCACAAGCAGCTCACAACCTCCATTACTTCAGTTCCAGAGCATCCAATAAACACCCTCTCTGAACTCCTTAGGGTCCAGGCAAGAATATTGTACCGTTATAAACACAGGAAAAATATGCATACATATAAAAAAATCTAAAAAAATCAACATATAGGGTTTCGATAATGTCCGTTTTATAAGTGAATGTAGCAGGAGTTATCTTATAATGGGAAAGAGATTTTAAAAGTATTTGTGGATAGTATCAAAAGAATGTTTGGTGGTAAGTCACAGTGTGAATGTCATGCTCTGTGTCATTTGGAATATCACCGCTCCTTTGTGTCTCCGCAGGATGTTTCTCCTGGTGGGCGCCCCAAAGGCAAACACGACCCAGCCCGGGATTGTTGAAGGAGGACAGGTCCTCAAGTGTGACTGCTCTTCCAGGCGTCGATGCCAGCCCATCGAATTTGACTCAACAGGTAAACCTCGGTGCTGCTGTCCGATCTTTGATTTACACCGTTTGGTTGCTTGTTTTGTCCTGGAGAGAGGGTCTCACCGCGTATCCTTGACGAGCCTGGAGCGCCTTATTCAGACACGGCTGGTTTTGAACTCACAGAGACCTGCCTCTGCCTTCTGAGAGCAGTGGTTAAAGGGTCATGGTACCATTCCTGGCCCAAGTGTTCCATCTTCTTGCCTTGTTTTTGTTTTAATGTAACAACAGGGCTAGAGAGATGGCTCAGCAGCAGGTGCTGCTCTTGCAGAGGGCTGGGGTCCAGTTCCTAAGACCCACTTGCCAGCATTTGGAACACCATTTCTGGGGCACCCAGTGCCTTCTCTGGCCTCCAGAGGCACCAGGCGTGCACGTGGTCCCATACGTGTGTGTAGGCAAACCACTCATACACGTGAAGAAAAGTAAGTCTCCTTATAAAAGCATCTTGAGCCGGGTGCTGTGGCCCACACCTGTAATTCCAGCGCTCAGGGAGGCAGGGGCAGGTGGATCGTTGTGAGTTTGAGGCCAGCCTGGTCTACAGAGCAAGTCCAGGACAGCCAGGGCTACACAGAGAAACCCTATCTCGAAACACCCCCCCATTCCAAAAACAAAATAACATCTTGGCAACATCCTCGCCCACTTCCACAGGGAGCCTGTCTGTGTTATGACTTGTGTGTGCTCTGCTGCAGCCATTCTGTGCGTCTCTACCATTCTGGATGTCTTTCAGCTTAAACCGACAGTGTCAAGACGGAGGTATTTTGGGAAAATCTATTAAGATAAGTTTATGTCTGCTCTGGGCAGAGGGACCTCTCAAGAGCAGTGGCGACTTCTGCTTTTCCTCTGTGAGGCATGACTCACCGACCACGCCAGCTTACCCCTCTAATCAGCAGTGTGCCCCGGGCCTGATGTGATGCAAAAATAGATGATGAATCATCTTGAGTATTCAGATAGATTTAGGTGACTTAAAAAAGTCATCAAAAAAATTTTTTTTATCTAAAATGTATTAGAAAAAAATATATTGTGTTACTGATAACAGGATCATTTTATTTTTGGAACAGATTTCAATGTCAATCAAGGTGGTGGCAATTGAAAAACAGATAGCCTAAGGAAGTCGAGAGATAATTCAAATTTTGTATTTACATCATTGGAATAAAATGTTCAGACTCGTATATACATTTTGTTGGTGTATTCTTATCTGTCTGTCAAAAGCTTAGGGAGAGGCTGGAGAGAGGACTCAACAGTTAGGAGCTGCCCTTGCAGAGGTCTGGGGTTTGTTTCCTAGCACCCCACGATGGATTACAACCATCTGTGGCTGCAGTTCCGGACATCTGGTGCTTTCTTCTGATCTCTGTGGGCGTGGGCGTGAGGCTTCTTGTTGCTGGGGATTGAACTCAGGACCTTGTGTGTGGGAAACATGGCCACTGGGCTTCCCCTTCAGCCCCACATGCCTTTAAACAACACAGGTTTGTTATGCTTAGTCCTGGAGGTTAGATTTCGGAAATGGATCCCACTGGAGGAAAGTCAAGAGAGCAGCCCTGCATTTCTCTAGGAGCCAATAGGGGGAAAGCAGGAGCTTGTGGTCCCACTCTTCAGCTAAGGCCGGCCTGTGGATCGCCTCCCTCCTCAGCCCATTGTCCTGCCTCCTCCTCCTCCTGGTTACACCCAGACATTTCAGGATTCCATGTTGATCCCACCAGCCAAGTCTTCAGTGGCATGTGACTTTCCATATTCAGTGGGAAGGTTCCGGGAAGCAGGACATAGGTGCAGTGTTGATACTCTGTTGGCTGGCGGAGTCTCTTTACAAATTTTAAAACTTGATATTGGTTATGCCGAAAGCCGCTTCCGGCAAGAGCTGTGTTTATATGAATGGGCTTTGCTCCTTCTCTTGTTCCTTTTCTGTTGGCAGCTGTGGTTATTTGGAATGGGAACTTGACCTAAACGGCTGGGATTCAGGCTCTGATACTTAGTGGGTGATCTTGGGAACGTGATTTACGTTTGCTAGTGTCAGTTTCCCAGTTTGTTGGAGAAAAAGTTGCCATGTGGATCAAAGGAGTTCATGCCAATGAATTCCCTTTATAGCTAGCAAAGTGCAATACTGGGGGAAGAATGGACCATTCACGACAGTCCCTCACTAAAACTGGGTAAAGAATAATCGTGAAAAGGGAATTATGAGAAAGGAAAGAAATACAGGTAATTGTGGCTCTTAAGTGAATTATGTCTTGCTTTACATTTTAATCTCTGTTATTGTGACTTTTGGGAAAACCCACTCATGGTCGCGTGCTTTTCTTTTCCAAGGAAGCAGACATTACTAACAGCCTCATCACTGCCAGTTTTATATTTCCAGCTGGAAGGGGCCTCACGTGCCTCTTTCTCAAGCCCTGTGGTGGCAGAGACAGGAGGGTCGCTGGGGCGTGCTGACTGCCAGACTAATCCCCGGTCCAGTGAGAGACCTGTCTCAAGGGAGCAGGGCAGAGAGTGAGAAAGGAGAAACCCAGTTCTCTGGCCGGGGCGTGCGTGCACACCCACACATCCCAGTGCATACGTAACACAGGCCTGCTCCCCGGCCCCTTGAGACCAGGGAAGGAAGACATGCCTTTTTCCTGGAAATACAGGCTTGGCTGCAAGCTTTCTAATCACACCATTAAAAGCAGAAGAAAGCTCTGACTTCATCCAGAGAAGGCCAGAGTCCTCGTCTGTCCATCCTGGTATCTGCTGCCGCAACCCTCAAGCTTGTTTCTAGATGGTTTCAGCTGCAGGCTGCAGACAGGCCCTGCCATGCAGGCTCTCACCTTGAAGAATGCTGTGGAATCATCTCCCCACACATTCCTAGGCTTTGATTTAAATAACAAATCCTGATGAGACCAGACCGGCTAGGGTTAGAGGGAAGGAGGAGAAGAGGGAGGGCGGGATTGGGAGGAGAGGAGGGAGTGGGCTACAGCTGGGATACAAAGTGAATAAATTGCATTAAGTAAAAAAAAAAAAAATTAAAAAATGACCGCCTTGTCCCACACATTTCCAGCTCACTGGAACTAAAATGCTTGGGTAGACTCTAAGAGAGCTTCCTGCAGGTTAACTTCCTCCGCTTGCAGAGTTTTTCTGTTCCTTAGAGATATGTCTGCTTTGTACACTGACAAATCACAAACTTACAAATTACAAACTTCAAACAAACGAAGCATAACCTTTCTTTGCTGCAACAAGAATTTAGACCAAAGATTTCTCTTTAAAGAGCAGGAATCTCCTGAAAAAAAAAAATCAATCAACCACTGGTTCAGAATTGTGTGATTGGAGGTCTGATAAGCACCTTTGGAGTAAATGATGTATCCAGTTCTTTCAGTAATGATTAACATATAGCTAATGGTATTTTATTTAATATCTGCAGCCTTTGACGAGCCCAGTTTCGCTTGGTCCTGTTCAGCCCTTCTCACAGTTTGATCTGACTTACACCCATTCCTTCAGGACTGGGGTTGATCTTCTTTCTTTAAGTCTCCAGTAAAGGGATTTTGTGTGAAGCAGTTTGAAGCTTTCAGATCACTTCCTCCCGACACTAGAAGGAGACAATCCAGCTCTGAGAGGGCGGTGCGGTCTCACAGGCCAGTCTCTTTGTGCAGTGTTCCCGCAGAAGCTCCTCGCGGGATGAAGGGGGGTAGCCTGAACAAGTATGAATAAACAGTGCCGGGACCGGAAAATGAGTGGCAGCCGGGTTCTTCCGGACGTGCTCTGCTCACTCTTGTTTATCTGCAGAGGATTGCTGTCTTAGGTAAACGGTGTTTCCGGAGAGTTCTGTGGTAATTAGCAGCAGCTTGCAGCTTTGGGAGGGGCACCACCAGCCAGGTCAGCTGACTCAGCCACGGTGGTCAACAGGGCAGAGGTCACAGCCCTGCTCCCGCCTCTGTGATTCTCCCCCGTGGACAGCCAAGGCCTGTGCCTCAGTTACGGTTGCACTCCTAGTATTTACATGGAGGATTTAATGACTGAGCAAGAGTTTTCTTCCCCTGACCTCTCCAGTTTCACATCAATGATAAGTTCTATTGGGAGCTTTTTTTGTTTGTTTGTTTTGGAAGTGTTTGTTTTACTCAAGGATTGATGTGGGATGACAGTGTTTTAATAACTTATTTTAGCACACAAAACCCAACAATTTCCCTAGAACCCTAAATCATCTCATTATTCATAGAAGCCATGGTAAAGCGTAGAAACTAAATGACTAAAACCACATTTAACTTCTAAATAAAAGTTTACTCTCTTATTTCTTTTTAGCATTTCAGCATTTCTCTTTTAAAAATAGTGTCAGAATCTTGTTCCAGAAGATGTCCTTTAGTCATAATTACAAGGGCTGAAACACTGAGCTTTATAGTAACAGGAAATCTTGTCTTAAAGTTCAGCATTATGTTAACATATTTTAGTTCTCCAGGAAGCTGAATGCGGAATGTCTGGCAGTAGCTTGTGGAATATATGTTGGAAAGGGGAGACCAAGGGAAGAAGTGTCAGGTGCTCAGGAGAAGGCTGTGACAGTGTGCTTGTCGCGGCTTCTGAATTAAGCTTTTCCTTGGAACGGAATTTGGTAAAGGTGCAAATAACAAATTTTGTAAGCTTGAAACAAAAATGGGTGTTTAATTTTCAAGGCTCTCGTGATTCACCTCATAGTATGCTTTATTCATTTACTCATTTCCGGTATGTATGTATGTATGTATGTATGTATGTATGTATGTATGTATGTATGAATGAATGAATGATGTGTTGAGGCAGGGTTTTCAATTTGTAGAGCAGACTGGCCTCCAAGCCCCAGGTGCTGGGAGTAAAGGCACACCTCTCAGCCTGGCCCTCCTCTGTGGTTTACTGGGAGTAAAGGCACACCTCTCAGCCTGGCCCTCCTCTGTAGTTTAGTTTACTGGGAGTAAAGGCACACCTCTCAGCC